CCACCCACACACACACACATCCATCCACTCACACACACATCCACCCCCTACACACATCCACCCACACACACACATATCCACCACACACACACACACATCCACTCAAACACACACATCCACCCACACACACACACATCCATCCACTCACACACACATCCACCCCCTACACACATCCACCCACACACACACATCCACCCACACACACACACATCCACCCGCACACACCCCAACACACACCTGCACCCACTTCCCCATCAGGCCATTCTTCTACTCCCAGCCCCCAGGCCACTCTTCCCTGACTATATCATCTTTCTCCTCTATTTCCCTACCCATGGTCACCCGGGAAGGGTAACCCACCTGAAGACCAGTGAGGGATTCCCCTTCTGAAGCTAATGGGCCATAGGCCCAAAAATCTGTCTTGGGTGTGGAACTTCCCCAATGGACTATTAGTTAGGACCCACCACCTACTGGACGGTGAGATAGAACCCATCACCTACTAGACTGAGTTAGAACCCATCACCTACTGGACTGTGAGTTAGGACCCACCACCTCCTGGACTGTGAGTTAGGACCCACCACCTACTGGACTGCTAGTTAGAACCTATCACCTACTGGACTGTGAATTAGGACCCATCACCTACTGGGAATTTTTAGTTACAGCATCAGGATGAAGAGTGTCTCCTAAGAAATGCTTTTGGTTCCTGCTTCACAGGCCTTTGAGAGTGAACTCAGAAGGCATGAGTCACTTGCTGGAGAGAACAGACACTGTGTTTGAGTGGGTTTAATTCAGTCTGTAGATAGAAATCATTCTTTTCATTTCAAGGCATGTGTGTATAGAAGTAAATCCTAGAAACCCACCATGAATATGTCGCCTTGCTAAATTTCAGTTCTAGCTCCTGATGAATTAGATGATCATCTAATAAAATTGATGAGAAGGGCAGGTGCTGAAGTCTTAGAACCTCTTGGCTGCCTAGGTCTCATCTGAGATTATTTTTGGCCACCTTGAAATCATAAAATTTAACAATACAATACTGTATGGTTTCAGTGAGAGCATCCAAGAAAAACATTGTTTTATTCATGATCACAGAGGCTAGGAGCTATAAAAAAAATTCCTTTAACGAGAGTACCTCTAGCCAGAACTTTGAGTTACTCCGAATCCTTTTAAAACCTCACCCATTGTTTCCAAGCATTCCAGCGAGCTACACCAAGCCTTGTATGTGAATGCCGTCTATTCACCAAAATCTTAGGCACCTCCATGTGGACTTCAGAATTTGCTGCATTGACAGTCGAAATCCTTAGCTTCTTTGTGGGTTCCAGAATCAGAGGTTTAAAATTTCTTGCATACCTTCTGGGAGTTCTAGCCAAGTATGCGCTGAGAGAGGTTTCCAGTAGTGCAGATTCTGTCTAAGGTTCAGTTATTTGCAAAAAAGGTCGTGTTTCTGAGCCAATTGGGCAAACAAAATGAAACTCCAGTGCTAATCTAATGATACCTGCTGGTTTATTTAAATGATCTTTGCGTGAATATGTGCCATTTTGCACATCACAGTGCCCCTGAAGGAGCTGCGGCACATTGCTGTCGCCATGGCGGTATGTGTGTTTTGCTGAGATTCTCCAATTCTTTCCAACATAGGCCTCTTTCTCATCGTACCCAGCAGGCACCACTCTTACCGAAAGCAGTCCTCTAACAGATCCAGGGTGAATGGAGATGGGGGTCTCCAGCCACTGAGACTTATACTTTGCCATAGAGCAGTCTAGAAAGTAGATATGTTTTAGAGACTTGAATTAAGAAAACGTACAGTCATTCAGAGGTTGGTGCTGGTAGTGGAAGGGATTTGAGAAATGATCTTAGCCTCCCAGTGAAGGAAAATCACAAGCTCTCTTCCAAGTGGATCCTGTAACAGCTGTGGGTGTGTGTTTCACGGGGCTGGATGCAGAGCCAGGTGTTGAGGGTTTGTTTTTGTGAGTTGGCTCTGGGATTAATTAGGTCCATAATGAGGCCAGGGTTATTTTTCTCTGCCAGTTTTCGTGGTCTGGGGGCCAGGCCCTCGTTTTGCGGAGGCGAGGATCACACTGCAGCTGGAGAGCTTCAGGAGGCCCCTGTGACTGCTGAGCCGGGGGACATCTGAGCCCCCAGTGGTCCTGCTTGAAATCCAGTGAAGCAGATGCTTGGGGCATCTATTCTACCCAGGTGTTGTGCTAAGTGCTTCCTGGGAGACACGCAAGGCTATTATCTCAGCGAGCACAGCCTCACCAGGGCTGGACACATGACAGGACATGATGCCTGCCCTCAGAGAGCGCCAGGGGCATCAGGCTTTCCAGGAGTGGGGCCCAGCTTGGAGGTCAAAGGTCAGAGAGGCTTTAGGAAACAGATGGAATGGGAAGATGATGGGCCTTAGAAACAGGGATGTTTTAGAAAATCAGGATTCAATGGCAGGAGGAACAAAGGCACCAGGTGTGTTGGGGGAAGAGCAGGAAGCTCCATTTGGGATAGAAGTGGAGAAGTCACAGCTGGAGAGTGAGTCTGTGTCAGATTGCACAAGACCTTGAATGTGCAGTGGAATCTATAGTCCATTTGGTGGGGAGGAGAGGAGCCCTGGAGGCCACCGAGCCAGGCCATGGCATTTAGGGAGACACCCATGGTGACAAGGCACAGGGTCTGCCGGGCCCAGGAGGAGGGCACAGCGGGCAGGAGCAGGCTTCAGAGCTGAAGCCCCAGGACTGGGTGAGGTGGGCTGCCCAGGCCAAGGGGAGGCAACTGAGTTGGACGACACTGCAGGGCACTGAGTCGAGAATTCACCCTGGTTAATGATCCTGTGCAGGGACCTGACAGCTGCCTGAGAGACACTCAGCGAGACAGCCGCCTGGCACACTGTCACTTGAAACCTCTACTTCAGACACATCAGATAAAACAAAAGCAAGATGCTCTTCAGGATCCCCCAGGGGTTCAACCAAGGATAAGCCGGACCCATTCATGACTGTGGTTTTCTTTCCCAGAATAACCCCAGCAACAAACTGGTGAGCACGAGCAACACAGTCACGGCAGCCCACATCAAGAAGTTCACCTTCGTCTGCATGGCTCTGTCACTCACGGTAAGGACAGAGGCTCTCTCTTCTCTCTGTTTGTAAAGGGGCAAATTACTATTTTAAAGGGGAAAATGCCACTGTGTAATGTGATGCTAGATTAATTAGCAACGTCTTCAATACATGTTCTTCTTCAAATGTGAACGATTGTTATTCAAGGAGGCCCTTGAGTCTAGGAATAAAAGACCTACTTCTGGTGTTTCTTGGGACTCCTCAAATGCTGCAGAAAGGAAGAGGTTGCCTTCATTGGAATAATACCCTTGTCTTATAATACACTTGAAACATTTCCAGCCCACTTTTTAAACATCAAGAGTCAACTTTACAACCATCCCTGTCCCTTTTCCAAATTTAATCAGCATTATTGCAGTTTTCCCCAGTAAAAATTCCTTTCCACTTACTTTGTGCTGACGTAGCCTACTTACTTGGCTGTCGTGTGCACACAGGCATTGAGCCCCTGAGAGATCCCAGGCCCGTGTGCTGAGGATACAGCTGTGAGAAAGCAGTGTGACACGTGTCAGCAGCAGAGCCTCTCAGTGTTTCTATGCACAACCTTCAGTAAACACACATCCTTCATTATCAAGCCCCTGTGTCTAATTCAGATGTGTTTGAACATTGATAACGTTCAATAAACATGGAGAAAATAGGTACACACTTTATAGTCCAAAGGACGTGGTATATAATTTAAGGTTATTTAGAGCATTTATCACCAGTGGCAAAAAACCTACCATTTATAAACCACCTTCTGTTGGAGACTGTGCCCTTCAGGTTATAAAGATGAAGATGAGAATAAGATAAAAACAAATTAGGGTCTTTTGAACTCAGTTCTGTTTTCTGTGTTTATTGTTGTGACAACACATGTCCTGTTAATCCTGTAGAAACTTGCATTCACATACACAATAGAAGCATTTGCAGAAACGTCTGGATGTGTGCCGTAGTCACTGTCAATAACTAACAAAGAGGACCTAAGGCCATGATGGTGTTGGGTTGTGCCAATAATGGAAACATAGGAGCTGGGTCCTTCTTACCATCATCACAAGAACCTTGGAGTTTGATGAGCTCTGTTAAGGCGATTAAAATCAAGGCCTGCCTACACATTTAACCTTTAATGGACATTTTGAAAGCCTGAAGCTTAATATTTGATCCATTGATCCAACACTAATTAGATAGTCCCAAGGGCAGTGCCCATCACAGAAGACCTCTGACACTGCCGAGTCATGACCTCGTGTCCTCAGCTGCCCTTGTCGCCACCAACACAGCCCCTTTTGCCAGCCTGTCCCTGTGGAACATGGGGGCGTTGGGAACGTCTCCCAGCACTGGCTCTCGGCAGGAGAATTTCTGATAGCAATGCCTGTTCAAACGGGGCCGGTTACCCGGGCAGCCCTGCTCCTCTCTTGCCATGATTTTTCTCTGTGGTGTGCAAGTTTTTCCATAGTTCCCTAAAATATTAGCAAAACACTGAGCAACTTTGAAACCATTTATAAGAGCATTTTAGGCAGAACAGAGAGATTTCTGTTCCAGGAACAGACCTCAGCACTTGGAGACTGTGTTAAATGGCGGCATGTCCAAGGTTGAACTGACTCTGCTGCCAGGCCCTGTGGCTTGGACCTCATCTGCATATAAAGCTGGCAGCTCCTGGCTGCCGCTGGCTCTGTGGTCCAGAAACTCACCTCCTCTCTCCTCTTTCACAACATTTAACGTCTTCCCGCAGCTAGAGTTGAATCTGATGGAAAACTTGACCAGATCGGGCTTAAGGACATTCTTCTCTCTTTCAGTTCACAGGCAATAATTTGTACTTCTAAAAAAATTATTCTGCAGCAAGTTTACTTTGAAATGATAATGACTTATAATCTGGGGAAATGCTTACATTTCCCAGGTAGAGGTTTTATTATTCTAATCTTCTATCTAAAAACCATCTGTGACTTGAAGTATCTCAGGGTAAATTTTCACCTTCTAGAAATAGAGATTCAGAACCCTTTGTTGGAAAGGAACTTGGAGATGAACTAGTCAAAACCCATAATTTTTCAGAAAAGGAAATGATTCACACCGGAAAAGTGACTTGTCCAAGTATCCAGTAATAGAACCGGCTACAGCCCAGCCTTCAGGGCGTGCTCTCCGGGGTCCTGTCCTCTGAACCACACTATTCCCAGAGAGTAGGAACAAATATTGGCCCTTAGGCCTCCAGACTGGGGCACTTGCCACCATGCCTGCAATAGTAGTTTCCTGCCCATTAAAAACCATTGTATTTGAGTTTGTGGCTTAGGAAGGGTCTCACATACACCATCCTTATGATGATTCAGTCAATTGATCCAACATCTTGGCTAAAGGAATTTTCACTGAAAGACACATAGAAAAAAATATAAAGGGAGATTTTTCCTTTTCTCTTTTTTGAGACAGAGTCTCAGGCTGGAGTGCATTGCCCAGGCTTGAGTGCATTGGTGCAATCTTGGCTCACTGCAATCTCTGCCTCCTGGGTTCAAGCGATTCTCCTGCCTCAGCCCCCTGAGTAGCTGGGATTACAGGTGCCTGCCACCACACCCACCTGATTTTTGTATTTTTAGTAGAGACGGGGTTTTACCATATTGACCAGGCTGGTCTCGAACTCCTGACCTCAAGTAATCCTCCTGCCCCAGCCTCCCAAAGTGGTGGGATTACAGGTGTGAGCCGCTGCGCCCAGCTGGAGATTTTTCTTTCTACATTAAACATTAAGCTGCCTCTGTAGTGAGTACACACCTGATTCTATCTCTTACTGTATTCATTCTTGTATATCTCTTGCTGCTCTTGGGCTCCAAATTCATGTGGCAGGGTCTGCCATGTAGCCTTTTATCCCCAGGGCTTAGCATTCTGCCTGACACTGAGAAAGGTCACAGTAACAGCTTAATAAACACAGGAATCAGCTAATTCTTAATTATGAGACAAGGGTCAGTAAGGTACCGACAGCACTCACCCTTGGTGAACAGTGATCTTCTCCCTTATGCTCCGTTTATACTATTTTTAAAGCTTTTAAAAGGCCCTTGATTTTCTAATCTACTTTCTTTTTCCTTCGCTTTGGGTTTGCGTCTTTTTTTAACTTTTTGTAGAGATGGGGTCTCATTGTGTTGCTCAGGCTGCTGTCGAATTCCTGGCCTCCTAAAGTGCTGGGATTATAGGCATGAGCCACCGCACCTGGCCTGTTTTTGTTTTTGAATTTTGAAATTTCTCAATGTCTCTGTAGCAGAGACATTAAGCTTCTTAATGGCCTCTGTAGCAGAAGCCATGGAAACACTCGAGGGCAGCACACTTGGTGTTTCTTTCAGCGGATGATTCTGTGTATACAGTAGGAGCTGCGTGATGATCCACAGCCCTCCACACATCACCCAATGTTAGCCTGTTTTCCCGCACTCGGCTGCTTTGGGAAAATCAACTTTTGTCCCTGAGTCTTTGAGAAGAGCTGACCCCCAGGATCCTGAAGATGCTCAATGACTCAGTGATTCAAAGGAAAACATACTGTCCAAAACCGAAATGCATCCTTCCCTCAGAATAGGCCCCCTCTCTAGGCCCTGGCATTTGGAGTTCAATACCTGCCTTTACCTGTGAAAAATACCATGGTGTCACTGTTGACAGTTAGTAAGAGGCTCATATTTCAGCATGCTACAATGATGTGTTCGTTTATTCCCTATTATACATTTTCTATTTAAATGAGTATCTGTCCTACTCCAAAAGTTGGTTCTGCCCTTATAGTCTTATCCAGTGGTTTTGTTGATCACTGGATATTCAGAAAAGCAGCAAATGTCTTCTGCCCAGTGTGGAAGAGGGGCTGAGGTCAGAGGAGTGTCGAGTGGGAAAATAGAAGTGTTCGTAGGCCGGGCGCGGTGGCTCAAGCCTGTAATCCCAGCACTTTGGGAGGCCGAGGCGGGTGGATCACGAGGTCAGGAGATCGAGACCATCCTGGTCAACATGGTGAAACCCCATCTCTACTAAAAATACAAAAAATTAGCTGGGCATGGTGGTGCGTGCCTGTAATCCCAGCTACTCGGGAGGCTGAGGCAGGAGAATTGCCTGAACCCGGGAGGCGGAGGTTGCGGTGAGCCGAGATCGCGCCATTGCACTCCAGCCTGGGTAACAAGAGTGAAACTCCGTCTCAAAAAAAAAAAAAAAAAAAAAAAAGAAGTGTTCGCAATTTTCGTTAGCATCTTGCTTTCATCTTTCAGAGCTGTGGTTAGGCGTGCTCAGCCGGAGGTTGATTGATTGATCTCTCTAAACCATCTGATGGGCATGAGGATGAGAAAAGGGATACCTTTAGTTGACCAAAAGATTAGCTTCAAAACAGGAGAACTGTCAGATAAAACAGAATGCCGTTGACAGCAACAAGGAAGCAGACACAGCGCAAACCCAGGTCAGCAAGGTGCCTGCAGACTGACAAGCAGCTGTTTGGGATGAAGGAAAGCAGAGTTCAAAAATATACCCAGCAGGAAGCCATTTGGAAGAACAGCTTCAGAGGGTCTGCTTTCACGTGGAAGCGTGCGGGGTTGCAGCCACGCAGGGGACACTGCATCGCAGCCTCGCCATGTGAGCTGCCCCTGCCAGTGCTGGAGTCAGGGCCAGTGGTCGCCTTGCCCTGCGCCTTCCCGGACAGCTGCGGCCTCTGTCACTCACGTGACTGGCTGTGGAACACAGTGACAGTGAGTGTGACCTAAAAGGCCATGCTTCTCCAGGTAGACATTCCTGAAGCCACAGGCTGAGTCGGCAGTGAGCTCACAAGAGAGGAGCAGGCACTGCAGGGGAAGGCAGCTGGCAGTGCTGAACTTACAGAAACCCAGCCTCACGTAAACCCCTAGGGCCTACCGTGGTGCCCTCCTGGGCTCTAGATGTGGGGATAAGATAGAAACCACTCACTAGCATGGGCCATATCTTCCAACTGTCCTTTCGGAGGGGAAGAAGTATCCCAAAAGAGTGATGGACCTCCCGATTCCTGGACGCCAGGCCAGTTGGTGAAAGCCAACCCATCAGGCTGCTAAGTTTACCAAATCTGCTCTTTTACCCAAAGTGTGACTTTTTAAACTATTTCTGAAGTTTATAGTCAATCATATTTTAATAAACAGAAAAGTTTTTAACAGCTTTGGATGCTTTTAGTTGATTAGTTTCCATTTTGATTTCACAATGGCATTTTCAGAACATTTGGTGTTTCTCTTCTCAAGCTCCCTGCTTCTCTGCTTTGGGGAGTTAGTGCCAAGAGAGGGGGCCCCTCAGCTTCAGGAGACATAGAGAAGAATCCATGCAAAGCACAGGCTTGGCCTCTGCTAAGGCCCCCCCACACCCTTAGCACACAGTGGAAATGGGCATCTCTGCAGATGGATCTTGGCAAGCAGAGCCAGCCGGGCACTTTTGTGCAGTGTACAACCTACATGACCATACCCAGCACCCCCAGGATGCCACACTCAGAGAAACTCAGAAGAGGGGAAGAACAAGGATCAGGGAAAGGAGAGTGACTGAATGTCAGAGAGATGGAGTAGCATGAAGGTCAGAAGGAGAAGGGAGAGAGACTGGTCAGAAAAAGAGGGGAGGTGACGAGTCAGAGAAGGCTGGAGCGGATGGCAGAGGTGGGGGTGCAGACAGGGAGAACATGGAGGCCTCAGAGACCCTGGGGCCCTCACAGCCCTTGGGGTCCTGCCAATCCTTCCAGTAAAAATTGCTATAAACTTTAGAAGAGTTTAAAGGTGACAAGATCTTAAAACTCAGAAAATTTGACAAATTGTTGGTTGGCCAGATTGGTTATCCACTGGTTGATTTTTGGTGAGCTGACCTGTTTCAAGGTGGCAGGTGTGGATGGGGCTCCGTCCAGGGCCGGCCCCTTACACCCACGTTCCGATTACCCTGAGGTCATGGGACTGTGCCACTGTGCCAGGGGCCCCAGACTGTATCCACTGGCCCCCAAATGACTGGCTTCCCTGGCTTCAACACATGGAGGCTGCTTGGTGTGGTGGGGGTGGGGAGCTGTTGCTGTCACTTGAGGCAGAGAGAGAAGGAAGCCTGGCAGGGTGCCATGCTGGCACGGTGTGCCAGTCAAACCACATGGCACCACGCAGTAGGGTGCAAGCGTATCTGAGGTCAGTGGCTGTTTGTATTTAAGGATCTAGTTCTTTTTTAGAAATAAAGTTAAAATAGGTTTTTACTCTGGATCTTCCTGAGCCTTGTTTATTGCAGCCTGTGGGTGGTTAAAGGGAGACCGTGAACCTGCATCCAGCCCAGAACCTTCTATCTTGATTGGTATGGGTTGAACTAGATTCACCAAACACTCTTACATTAAAGTCCTAACCCCCAGTACCTCAGACTTTGGAAATAGGCTTAAAATGAGGTTCTGGTAGGTAAGTAGGATGGGCCCATAATCCCATATGATTGGTGCCCTTTTTAGAGGAAGGAATTTGGGCACAGACATGCACACAGGGGAAGCGCCTTGTCAAGTTTGGAGTTCAGCTGCCTCAGCCCAGGAGCTACCAGAAGCCAGGGAAGGCCTCGAACAGACGCTCCCCCAGCACCTTCAGAGGGCATGTGGCTCTGCTGTCTCCTTGATTTCAGTCTCCAGAACTGTGGGATAGTCATTTTTTATTGCTCAGAGTCACCCAGTTTGTGGTAGTTTGTTTTAGGCGCCTGGCAAGCTAGCAACTATGATTTCTGAAAGGAAGGAGTCTTCTTGTCAGTTAAGGCCACACGGATTGATTAACCAGACTTCTTACTATTCAACTCACCTGTTTTTTGTTTTTAGATTCTCCTTTTAGTTTCATGAGACGTCTCTATTATTTTATTTCCAGATTCTCCATTTGAGTAGAGGATTTGCTTAGAAATATAATACTTTTCATGCAGTGTGGCCCTGTGTCTACATTTTTTTATTTTAGTTTTTATTTTTTGTGGGTACCTAGTAAGTGTACGTATTTATGGGGAACATGAGCTATTTTGATACTGGCAACCTGTGCCTGCATTTACGTGCTTAATGATATCTTTGCCGAAGGTTTCTGTGGGGAGAGGGGGTTGTTGACATCGTAGCATCTGATAGAAGTTCCAGGGCTGGATTCGGGTCACTTTGCTTCTTGCTTTTATTCTGCTTTTTATTCATCAAATAACGCAGTACCCCTCAGCAGTCTTTGCAGAGCCCGGGACTAACTTGTACCACTACAAACATTCAAAACCTGAAATATTTTTCCAATTTTCAGAAAACAAAGTTGCCAGTATTCTATTCATTTGTGTTTACCCACCCCCCCAGATTGCCTCAAAATCTTGACTTCTTCTACTGTTTTCCACTTGAATCTTATAGAAAGGTAATCTGATTTGGCACAAAATTATAAAAATTACTCATTTCTCAGTTTAACGTATCAATACACACCCCTGTTCTGCCAGGATCCCACGTGGGGCCCACCACCTGAATGAGTTTGAAAGCAGCAGGGAAGACACCATGTTTATACCCTGGGCCTGCAGACACGCACTGCTTACCAGCCCCTCCAAGCCTGGAAGGAAGGGAAGCCTGGGCCCCGCGGACCCCTGCACCTGCCAAGCGCTGCCTGACCTGAGTCCCACCCTGCCCTGCTTTTTCGGCTTTCACTGCTGTGGAAGCAGAGATATCATAGGGAGAGGTCAGTCACAAACTGCCCTTCCACACAAACAGCAAAGTCACTCAGTAGGGCTTCACTGGTAGACTTTCACAATTAATACCTTATGATTCCCTGTGGGTTTTTTTAAAAATTGCTTTTATTAGTCTCAGCTTAAAGACAGGGTTCAGAAATCAGACATCAGCCTGAATAGGTGCTTAGGCCAGACACTCCCGACACAGATGCACCATCAACGTGGAGAAAGCAAGGATGTGGTGCCCCTGACTTTTTGGCTTTCCGAGCCCAGTATGGCTCTGAGACGCCCAGGGCTCCACACATGAGTGCTTTCTCCATGGCCTGAAACTCCCGATGGCCTCCCATTCACTTGGGTGCAGCAGGCAGGGAGCCCAGCAAAGCCCATGTGAATGATCTCAAAATACCTCAAAAATTACCAAATAGAGGTAATTACACGAAGCAGTGTGTGAAATGAGCACAGTGAGGACCTAAAACAGCTGATTAGCATGCTAAATGGCCATTTTGTAAGTTTAATGAAGTAAGACATCATTTGACACAGGAACAAATAAAACAATCGAAAAACACTCTGTTCACAGGAGAGACCTCACTGGCTTCCCTCTCCCAGAGCCAGGGTGTCTCCTGCACCTATGGGCAGCACGTATAAAGTGCTCTTAGCTAATCTGTGCTCTTTGCTCAAAAGGGTCTTCATTTTCTCTTAAAGGGTCACTACTGTGTCCCCAGCTCTGGGTCAGATGTCCCGCTTTCTTGGGCACAGTAAGGTAAACAGTTTTGAATGGTGCCATGAAATTCTTCTAGGGTCTTTTTATATCTTCTGAGCCCAGTGCTAGCCTTAAAAAACCACAAAGCACTGCCAAGAAATGGCACATTTGGCAAACGACAGGGCCTCGAAACCTGCTCACTGTGAATCGGGTGCCAGACAGTTGCCAGTAGCCTATAGTCCTCCCTGGAGATGTCTCTTAACTGATGTGGCTAGAAGAGTGAACTGATCGTTACCACAAAAGAAGTTTCCAGAGGGCCGGGGTGCACACACTGGAGCTGATGCCACTCATCTCTTGCAAATTCCCACCTTTGAAACTGGAGGTGAGTTCAGATGTGGGGCTGCCTGTCACGCCTGTGGCTCTCATGACATCTGACTGCCCTGTCCCTGTCTATTGATTTAAAGAGGGGAAAGGGATGGAGGCAGAGAGATTTAGGTCAGGCTGGAATTGGCTACATAGCTTGGTAGCTTGAACCAAGCCACAGGGCTTGGGTTCAAATCCCAGCTCCACCACTCATCAGCTGAGTGGCTTCAGGAAAGCCACTGAAAACTGCAAGCTTCAGTTTCCCCAGGTAGCATGCAGAGATAATGAGAACTGCTCACCTTTTATGACTTTAAAAGGAGTCAAAGCTTAGTGAAATCCCTGGCGTGTGCTACATGCAAAGGATGCCAGCTCTTCTCTCAGCCACCAGCACCACCACCGTGGCATCGGGTTGTCCCTAATACAAGGAGAGAGGGCTGCACATGGACATAAGTGGCTAGGGGTATCTTTTATGCCAAGGAATCACTTTATGAGTTTTGTATATAGCTATATTTTATAGCTATATATATATACACACACACACACACATATACATATATATACATACATATACACACATATATACATATATACACATATACATATATGTATACATATATACACATATGTATACATATATACACATATATACATATTACACATACATATACACACATATATACATATATATACACATATACATATATGTATACATATATACATATATACACACATATACACATATATACATACATATACACATATATACACATATACATATATGTATACACACACACACACACACGTATATATATAAAGTTTATATACATCAAATTTTTGTGGGTTTTGTTGGGTGGGTGAAGGGGTGTTTTTTTAAAAGCCAGTCTCTTGATTGGCAGATTAACACACACCTTCAACAGACAGACCCTGCCACAGACATGACCCTTGGGTGCCCCATTTTTCTCCCCGGGGAAGCTCTTTGGGTGGCCCATCACCCCTTGCTGTTTACAGCGTCCCAAACCCAAGTGCAGACGGTGCTACCCGAGCCCCATCTTCTTGCTAATGCAGAGATGCCAGCTCCCCAGCAAGCTGCAGTGAACACAGAAGAGGGGAATGAGTAGGTCGAGTCATCTGACTAGACATCTGATAGAACTGCAGGCAACACCACGCAGTAGAAAATGCCAGTAAGGACCGAATTTAAGTTGCCCCTGGGCCTGGAAAGCACGTTTACATTTTGAAGTCCTGGGGTGAGAAGGATACCCGTGTGTCCGCCGAAACCTGTGTCCTGTAGGGGACATGTGATGCTTCCTGAGGACCCCTCACGACCCCTGTTGGCATGACACTCATGCAGCTCCCTCGTCTCTCCCCACGTCGCCTTGTCCCACACAGGTGTGGCCGTATGCATTGCCGAAATCACCGAACGCCTAGGCGGTAGAGCAGAACACGTCAGCCCGTCAGTTTCACTAATGCCGCCTAAGGCTATATCTACTTTTTAAATTAGCTGCCTGGCGCTGTTCTCAGGATAAACACGAGACCCATAAGATCCAGTTGAGGACTGGGCCCTTCTAGAATCCATCCTGAGGATTTCCAGCCTCGAGGCTCCCGGCCTCTCCCTGATTCTCTAAGCTTTCTTTCCACCATAGATGAGTTCATGCTGGGAGCCTTGCACGGTTTTACGGTTATCTCAGAAAGCTTTGCTCCCTCTTGTCAATGGCGGTCTTCAGATCCCACTTGTCTGGGTTTGCTCATCCTGGCTAGTTTTGGGGTAACCCTCCTGGGTAGAGAAGGCAGACAGAGATCAGGGGTTTGGAAGGTGCCCCCAGCCCCTGGCAGCTCTTTCCCTTTTCCCTTCTTTCTCACGTGTTTTACAGCTCTTTTTCTTGATCTGAGCACCTTTACTTACTCAGAGCACTTGGGCTTTCACCTCCCGACCTTGCTGTTATGGGGGTTAGGACACATCGTTTGGTACAACCGTAGACCCTGATGTAGACATGACACCTTTGTGCACCAGGCCGCCCCTCAGTCTGCCTCTCCCTCGTAGCCATGGCCGACTCGGAAATAATGAAGATCCTCGGGAAATGAGCCCTCTTGGTAGACATCCATCTGCCCACATTCCTTCACCTCTGGCCGCTGCCCCCGGGGGACGACATGGCCTTTCATGACCGTGTTGGGCCACCTCTCCAGCTCCCCGTGCAGCGGCGTCTCCTTACTCTGTGCTTTGCATTGGTAGCTGCTGCATTGGCCTCAGGTGCCTCGTCGGGCTTCTTGGCAGGCAGGTGCTTCCTTATCAACCTCTCCCTGGAACAGACAGGCGCCCCTTCTCCTACACACCCGGCACCCGCTTCTTGCTGGCAAGTATGTTGGGTGCATCTGCACTACACATCAGCCCCATCCTTGAGGCTGCGAGCCCTTCAAGGTAGACTCTGCATGGGGCATGCTGAGACCTAGGTAAGAGGGACCTACAGGTGGCAGGTCCTATGGTTGCATGTGTTGCTGTCCCCAGTACCCACTTCCACACCTGGGGGACCACGAGGCCTTCGGATGCCTTCCTTCCGTTTTCCTCCTCATGGCCTGTATTCTGGTTGTTGGGAGAGAATTTGTCTTCTGAGAGTTTTTTAGCCTCTTTTCGAATCTCTGGTGCTATTAGATCATATTCGCCTCTTTTCTGTAAGTTTTGAAATCTGTTTTCCTTAATTCCTTTAAAAAAAAAAATGTCCCTGATTCCTGTGAATTCGAAGAAGTCATGGCCACTCTCTTCGTCAGCAGCCCCCTCTCCATTGCCTGTCAGGATGGTCCCCTCCAGCGAGGCTGTGAGCCCTCCCCGCTCCGGCATCCATGGGGGAGAAGCTTTGTCTGGGAGGGGTTAGGTTGGAGCTGCCAGAGAGGAGAGTGGCTTAGTGGCCTGGTCAGGTCCCCTCCTTGCATGCTGTTTCTGCAGAATCCCAGCATGGATCGCGGCATACCTGGCAGCTTCTATTGGGCTTCACTGCCTGCTGGAGGGAAGGAAGTAGGTGCCATCCCAGAGCAGGGGGCTGCCGCAGAACTGAGGATAAAGGCATTTAGTATTTAAAACATCTTCATCCTAAAGCCTCAGAACTTCAGGCCGCAAAGAGAGAAACTCAGGAGGGAAAGAAAACAACGAGCAGCAGCATTGGGGAAGGAAGCAGCCTGAAAATCCACTCTGCCAGTCTTTCTCTTGGACACACTGAGCTAACCCCTCTCCATGCACTTGCTGGGAAGCACCATTCCCAAAGCTAGAAGCCAGAATTCTGGCCCTGCCCCTCTTTTCCCCACCAGAGCCTGCCCCACCATTGCACGGTGGCAGGTCTCAGGCAGTGTCAGTGTTTACAGTGCCCTCGTCCCAGTGGAACACAGGCTTGGCCCTCTCTCCTTGGAAGGTCTGCACAGCTCGTCCAAGGCACAGCCGGCAGATCGAGGGAGAGGCACAGGGAAAGGGTACACGGAGAAGGCAGAGGTTTGGGGTCCCGTCTGGCACTGCCTCTCACATCCTCAGTTTCCTCAATTAGAAGCCTTTTTTTTTTTCATCATTTCAGGGCCGGTTTTGCACCCCTCAGGTCAGGATGGGTTCCTCCGCTCTTGTTTTTCCTACTGTCGATGTGTGATGGAGAGGGCCTTCTGTACCCTGCTGAGCCTGACCTGCTCCTGTCATGCCGCTGCTTGGGCTAGCGCCCCAAGGATTCCTTCTTCTTGGTTGCACACCATCAGTTGTAACTGCATCTCAGTAAAGCCTGTTAGTTCTGAGTCCTTTCCTTATGTGCCAGAAGGCAGCAGAATCTGAGCTTGTAGTAAAAATCGCCACCCAACAGGCCTTTGTCCGGCTGGCACTGTGCTCCAGGTTAGAAGTTCGGTTCATGAGAATGACACCGTCTCACCTTCCTGTGGCAGCCTTCCCAAAAGCCATAGCTGTCACTCAGCCCTCCTGGGCGGATCCCAAAGGCCATATTCCAGCCATGGTACCATGCTGACCCTTTGTCTGGAACAAAGGCGGCCTGTTTGAGGCTTTGTTAATGCTGGGCCACCCCACCCCCATGCCATGAGGTGGAGACTGCCGCCCATTGTTCCTGGCTCCACTGGAAGAAAATGCCTCTCTTGTGCATGGGGGATGAAGAAAGAACCAAAGGTGAATTAATGGAATTCAACACTTTCCCATTTGGTGCCCCTCACAGCACCCATGGGCTGGAATGATTTAGCAGCCTAGGGCATCTCAGAAACGGAGAAAGCAGGGTTCTGCGGCCCCTGGATTGAAGTCTTACCCTGCCCCTTTACCAGCTGGTGACCTGGGGCAAGTCACACAGTACCTGTAGGCCCTACATCCTCCTCAACTAATAAGGCATCTGTCTGGGGAGTGTGTGAAGATGATATGGAATCACATATGGAGCCCTCTTGGCACAGAGTGACTGGTGAGAGAGTTCCTTTGCACTGAACCTCTGCCTTCCCTCCACACTTCTCTCTGGAAGCTGCAGGAATCCAGAATTTGCACTTTATGTCAGCACGTATAGCAGATTTGATTTGAGGGATTGATTGGTTTGTTTGGGGGAAATTTAGGCGAGATGAAGGCAATAAAGGCTAGTCCCCAAAACTCTACCTAAGCCCTCATAATAAGACACCAGGGCAGAGGCACACATGTGTCATTTAAGCAACGAGCAAATGAACAAGCAGAGCGTGCTTGTTCCCAATGTTTTTAATTTTTTTTTTATTGTAGAAAAATACACATAAAATGTACCATCCTCACCATTTTGAAAGGGACAGTGAAGTCCATTCACATTGCTGCTTGTCATCACCATCTGCCCGTAACCAGGTTGAAAACTGAAACTCTGTACCCTTTAAACGGTAACTCCCCATGTCCCCTTCCCCCAGCCCCAAACAAGTTCCAAGTTGACTATTAATAGTCAAGAAGAAGGAAAGGCTAAACAGAAGCTGGAGTGTGGAACTTTCTCAATAGTCTTTAGATCCATGAGAAAAACCAGGAAAGGATTAAACCTGCAGAGGAAAGGAATAGGAGTTGAACATCCCTCTGCCGACTTGGTGCATGGCGCCCCCTGCTGTTTGGATATGTCATTTCTTTCCACCAATGCAGCTTTACTAG